GTGATCTGAATCAGAATTTCCTGATTCTGTGTTAGCCATCATTTCACTCTTTAAGATACGTTTGAATTAATCAGTTGTAGATTTTTTTTTNTTTTTTTTTAGATCAGATAGATTTTCTGCCAGAATACGCCTATTAGGGTTCGTTAAAATATCACCTGTATCTGTCGTCCCGTTGATCATCGAGTTCCTCGAGCGGGCGCCAGTAACGTCCTCATTCGTCCCTGCATGAGCAAGAGTGGTCCAGTGAATCGTCCTCGCTTCAGGGACACGAGGTTTAACATTCCTTTCGTTCAGAGCTTACGTGAGGAAGTCTGACCATCTCGTTGGCAGCCGTTCTGGAGCTAGTATCCAGTTATCGTCAGAACAGTATAGTAAATGAAGACTAACTAATCAAGCTGAAGGCTTGCCGTTGGAACGGAGGAGATTCTCAATTGAGCAACGCGGGTCCCTTTAAGATCCTTAGAGATTGATGGTCAAGCTCGTCCCCTCACATATTTCGAGCTGATTGAAGTACTCGTTGAGTGGGTAGTGAAATCGGACCATTTCCACGAAACATGTTTTGAGAAGGTTTTTGCTTACTTTGTTTTGAACAATTATTGAATGAATAAATTCTTTAGTTTCAAGGTCCCCCTTTGAAATCTGCTTTCGACACACTAGATTTGAAAAGCTAATGAATTCCTTCGAATTCTTATGAGGGATAATAGCTCTGAAAAGATTTTACTCCGATTCTGATGACTACATTCAAGCAGAAATTTCGGAGCCAGCCGTTCTACTGTAAGCACGACTCTCAGCGATCACCAGCGAGACTTTTGGAACATGTTGTGTGTATTTCAGGCAGTTGTTTAAAGACACAGTTCACAATAATTTTGAGGTAACCATTTAAGGTAGAACAGTGGAAGTGTTGGAAGAAGGCGGAGGAGAAGGCAAAAAGATCCGCCTACTTCGAGGCTTTTTAAAAGTAGTGCGAGTGGAGGTTGTACGAGATCACCGTGACGGTAATGGCATGTGAGGAATGTTCGGACGAGATTTAAGTTGCTCCCATTGCTCAAAGAAATGACTACATCAAGCCGGAGTCGTCCGAAACTTCCTTTCGCTGTTGCCATGGGTTATGACAAGTAGCTTGGACTCCCTGCATGGGAGTCTCTTGAGATAGTGCAGCCTCTACAAAGCCGTTGAAACTCGTCCACCAGGGGTGCGGGACTCACACGATACAATCTCTAGTCCCTTATTGTGCTCTATCCATGACGTTTTTCGACCTTACAATGGCAGGTATGGTATAAGGGGGAGCCTCGAACTCATACTATAGGGACATCTCAGAAATCATTTTCATCGTGAACTGTGCCTTTAACGAAACTCGCATCATTCTAATGTACGTTGCCCTGCCAATTATCAGCATTATATGATTTGTCATGGTTATGTCGTGTTTCAAGTGATAACGCATGTGTGAATAACAAGGAGACCACCAGCAGGACTGAGCGTATTGGTTCATAGCTGAACCGTGTATCAGCAGTGCTATCGAATTCCCACGTTTAATTGCAAGGAGGCGTTACTCCGTTAATTGGTGGGTGCAGTATCACAGATGATTACGTTATCCACTCCATATAAGCCATTCGCAAAGGTGTAGGCCCTTTGTTGTAGGCCGAACGCTCCCTGCAGCGGTGGTGAGTCTCTTCGCTCAACCCATCCCACTTCAGCTTCCCATGACATCACCGATCAGTTAGAGCACGTGGCACGTCACGACTTATCGCAATCACATCAGCGTTTCCCACTCCCGAGAAACTCTCACACCTCTAGTCTGTGCCGATAACATTCCTTCTGACTTTGACAGAGACTGTCCTCGAGCGATGACTGTAATGTTATGTTGGACCACTTTTCTCTTGTGTCATTCGCTTTCCATACCTCTAGGACGTACTCTTTTCAGATTTCACTGTTCATTCATGAGTATTTCCACTGGTTTTCCTTTTCTTAGTTTTTTTTCGCTCCAAGAACTTACCTGATTACCCTCAGTATTTTCGTTAAGCCTATTTGATTTCACAAGAATCGTGCTGCGGGTATTCCATAACTCACATTGATTTGTTTGGTAGCATTTCCTTCGTAAGGACTACTTTTGCAGAAGCTGCAGTCCTATACCTTTTGACTAGAATTATTTGTGGTATGTGGTAACCACTGGACTTTTGATGAGTTTCAGCAACCGATGTTTGATTCCTAACACCAAAACCCCCCGAAGTTATGAAAGTTTTCACGAAATTAGTTTTCAAAGTCAATTACGTAAGCAAGGCAGAGGAAAAATCAGACGCAAATTCATTTCCCCAATATTAAACTGTGATTATCAGCTGAAACTTTATTTATAACCTACACAGTTAAACTAGGTTTTGAAGAAAAATTGGAACTTTTTAGCTCTTCACCTTAAGGGTAGTTTTCTTCGAAAGTTTTCCAACTTATATGAATGGGCACAGGGAGACCAGACGGAACTTTGTTCTTGCAGTAACCTTACGCTGGAATAGGGTCAGTGAGCGCAAAACCTCAAGGACAGTAATTTTCAGTCCACGGATAACCTTCTTTGTATACGAAAACATCAAACCCACCACATATACGACCCTGCCAAAAAGTGCTCCAAGTCGTTCTCAGAATTCTGCAGAGCTTCTGCCGAACTTCTGCAAACAGCACATTTCATTTCACGGCATAACCTTTTTATGCACAAATTTGCACCTATCGCTTATATGACACAGAAAGTGGACCATGGGCAAGGACACGGAGTGGGTGGTTGAGTAGCATACGGGTATTGCTCATAGATATCGGAAGCGTAGGAATGGGTGGGCCATCGCGTGGGTGGGTTGTACCGCGCGATAGATTCAGCTTCCATAAATGGATTATTGTAGGAGCGTGGTTCTCCTACCGAATTTATCTTTTTGTGCAATGCTACCAAACATCGACAACTTCATTTTCTTCCTCTGTAAGTGCTGTTGAACCAATTCGCTCTAAAACCCTCCCAATTCTGATATGAAAGTAGACGGTCTTTATCAGTCTTCCTGGGGGTCATTGAGTTGGAAAGCCTGGCAATGGGAAGGCACACCCCTAATCAATACCTACACCTGGCATTACTTTGGATTGTTCTTTGGAAATGATCCTTTGTCAAGTACGACCGTTTCCCCTTTTTTGGCAGCTACAGTCTAGACATTACAGGTATGTTTCCGTACCAGGCTTTTCCAACTTCAATGACGATTATTTAGATATAGAAAGATGAGGAGTACGTCTTTTATACCAAAACTGGTGAGTTTCTAGACCGAATCGGGCCCATTGTAGCCAGCGAAAGCTGATTGAACTTTACGAATCGCATTCCTAAGATAATCGATAACGAAGTCGGGAATTCGTTCAACGTCCCACCAATGCACGCACGATCTTTTCGATTTCTTATTGATCCCGTTCCGCTACGGTTCGCCCGTCTGTCCCTCTCATTTTCGGTGGTATGTTTACTTTAAAATCAGTTGAGAAATTTAAAGATCTTTCGTTTTCTTTATTCTCTTCATTGGGAAGTTCCATAATCTTCCGGTAGTGGTTGCTAATCTATGGAGATTTCATCGAGTAATCCCTGAGAAACATTCTTCATAAGGTTTGGACGTACTCGTCTTCACATATAGAATCTGAATGCTACCTCTACGAAGTGCAGACTTCGAGTCCCAGAGGGGCTTACACAAGATTTTGATCCAGTAATCGTCAAAACGGATTTTCAGTGCTTGTGTCCGCAACTGTTATTTTAGCCATGGGCGGTGATTTTGCGGACGAGCTTTCTGAAATTCATGGCAGCCCTTTCTGATGATTAACCTTGAGTCTTTTAGCCTTAAAAGGAGGAGGAATGGACTCATAATTCCTGGTTTGCGAATCAGAATTAGTCTATGGGTTGGTGGTTTTCAACTTCACTGTTACTCTTGATTACTTGTTCTAGGAAAGAACAAAAACCCGATTTCTCGTTTCTCGGTCAGTTACTTTTCTTTCGGGTTTCTAAAATGAGCAGAAAGTATCCGCTCAAAATCTTTCGCTAGTTTTGTGATGTCGTTATACGGCTCGTCTTCTCTCATGTGCGAACACCAGCAACAAAGCATTCGCTTCGTCTTTCGCGATCGCCATCCACGGTAGACTCAGAATTCGACGAAGTTGGTGATGTGAGGAGTCGTTCAGCTGCTTTCGTAGCTACTTCACGTGATCACAAGCACATCCCCCATCCCGCAGTAGGCCTGCCCTTAGATCGTGAAGAACCTACGGGACTCGACTGTTCTTCTTGTCCATATGTCATCATCTGTTTTCATAATATGATCGGCCCATCGGAATTTGGCGTTCCTCATGTATTCCACCGCGTCGTGAAGGTGAGAGATTCCGCGCTTATCGTAGCTGCAGAGTCCGCTCGATATTGAGTGAGCCGATTGAACCTCAAAAGACATCGCTCGAGCGCTGTGTAACATGTGTTCAAAGCCCTTGACGCACTGGTCACCCAAGTCTCGGACCCGTAACAAAGCGCAGGAAGAACGCGGAATCGAACAGTTTAGCGCGAAGTTCCGGGTCAGTCAGATGATTAATGGTCCTTTTCCAGAGGTTCGAGGGCTGCCCACGCTGCTTTCTGCCGTTCACAAGTTTTCCCTCATGTTGTTGTCCATAATCATGGTACGCCCGAAATAAACGTAGGACGAGGTCTCCCTGATGAATGTACCATCGATCTTGATTTGACCGTCATCAGCCCAAGCATTCTTCATGAATGCCGCTAGCTTTAAACATCGTTACCTGGTTATCCTTATCATGGCTTCTAAAATATTTCAGCCCTTAACTTTGTTGTCATTTTTACTTTTTTTAAATATTAGGTTTGGTTTACGAACTTCACTGCTTGATGTTTTGCTCACAATTTCGCGATCGAATCGATTCTTGTAATATGTATTTCTTCATGGGTGTATGATGAATATGCAAATTCATTGCCATCGAATCCCATTATTGTTCAGGCCGTAGCTCGAAAAATGTCTTCGGATAGCTTCCCTCACTTTGGTACCGCTGCTCTACATATCGGACAAGAGCCAGAACAATGGGATATGAATCAGGTATGGTTTTCACGTCGGATATCCAGCTACACAAATATCCCGACACACATCGTGCGTGCCCTACCCACCATGTCTGTAGTCGTGCTGAAGTCCTATGTGTTCGAGTAACTTATCAATTAGTTCATTCCCAATTATTCCAACTTGGTTTCTTATTTTTACTCACTTTGCGCTCATTTCAAACAAGTTCCGCTCTCGCGTTCTATAAGTCTCCCTTTCCCCCGCACTCCTCGAGTAGAGTCTAGCTCACGAACTCACCTCCTGCCACTCGCATAAGTCCTACCATCCTGCCGTCTCTACTCCTACCAAAATTGAACGCACCATGTCCAAGTTAATAAATTTTGCTTGCGCCTCGCTCCCTGTGGGTGAAGTCTAGTCCTGCCACCAGCAGTGTTACCATTCTGCCGTCTGTATTCCTACCATGTTGAACGCACTAAGATAACGGGGATAGAGATTATATGTTCCCGGTCGAATATTTATTTCGCGCACGCCCCACTCCCTGTGAGCGGAGTCCAGCAATGCCACTCCCCATAAGTCTTCCCATTCTTCTGCCATCTGTACTTTTACCTAATTTGAGCCCTCGAGGTCCACGGGAACAGGAGTTCTGATTTTCTGGTCAAACATACACATAGCCAAACAGATAGGCACGCTTGACGCATTATATTTGTATCAGTAACATTGTCATAAGTCTGTCATCCTACTCTACCGTCCCGTCTTATCGAATGAAATATACTAAAGAGACCTAAGAGACTTCATCGTATATACGAAAATGTAAGGATTTCAATGGTAGATGGCTTTCAATCTCTTCGGCCTGTTATCAGTTGTTATCGATTCCTGTCACTGGGTTCCCGTTGGTGCATTCTTCATCACACGTTAAAATGCTAAAGTTTCACTATCAACACGAGGGGCATTACAGACCTAGTGGCTCTCGCCATCTATGGCTTGTTATTAGTCCCTATCAGAATTGTAATCATTCCCTGTCACCAATCATCTATGATCCTTTTTTATCCCATGCCACCTAACAAAATGCCAAGGCTCTAGCGTTAGTAGAATGAGGTAACTCCTGCGACTCCTGCTTTCTGTGGCTGCTTATCAGTTCCTATCAGTCGTTATCTTCTCCTGATACCTACCTCAGTGTTCGCATCCTGCCGCCTGTATCCATTTCAAATACGTGTTCATATTACATGCTTCATTAGTCAGGTAATATGAATGCACCCATCTAATACCTGACATCACCAACAGCTGAACAGTTCGGACCCGAACAGATGCCGGACAGATCTCCTCCAACCTGAACGCTGGGAGCATAACTCTCTTTTATGCAATCTCTTTATGCGGCGATTTCGTTTTTAGAATTTGATCAGTCAGCAAAGGCCTTGAACTCTGCTCACTAATATTTACCAGTTATCATTGTCATATTATCAGAAATCGTTACCCATGACCCTCCTTCTTCTCATGGATGTAAATATTGTCAAGACTCTCAGCTTATCAATGGTCGGATAAGTAATGTCACAGTTGATATCGTGATAACGAGAAAATGCGATCCCCTATTGAGTTCCGCACAATAAGGGAAGCTTGATGTGTAGTGGTCGTTATCTAGTGACTGGGAGTAAATCGATTTTTGTTTTTTGCAATGAACTGAATTCATCAGTCCGTAGCACTGTTGTTGTGACTGTTTGTCACTCTAACAATAAGATCCCTATTTATTGTGTGGGACATGGTACAAAACGGAGACATCGACAATAGGTTACGGGTATGAACTGAGAAATTCTGGAGCCTCTCCTCTGCCTTTATCAACTGTTAACACTTTTCTGATGTTTTATCTGCGCTCTAGTCACGACCTACATTACAGAAGTCGAACGACTGGAGTGTTAATGTAGAAAGAAGAAGTGGTCTTGTGGAACTTGCATTTCATGCTCATTATCAGTCCTTATCGCTTGTTATCGGTCCATGTCCTAGTGTGTGGTTCTCCCACATCTCACACCACCTATTGAAGGATTCTTTATGAAATGAAGAACACAACGTTTTGAACTTTTCTCGTTCTCTATGGCCCCTTATCATCTTTTATCAATTGTCGTTTCCCTTTCCCAAGTGTCTAAAGTCCCGTCACACTCCTCATTGCTCACCGAAGTGCTGAGGTTCTGTTGGTAACCCGAACGTGAAAAGGATTTCATGAAAAGCGTGAATCGCATGGAGTGTCCGTCAAGTCATACACTGGCCGTCACCCGCGCACGAGTACATCACTCATCCAACGCGGATGAATGCTGCCATTAATTATAGATTATAAGGTCCAAAATGCTAGACTAATTGGAAATATACAGCATAGTGTGTGTAAAGATTTAGGTAGTTCCTCCGATCTCATTGTCTACTACCTACAAACAAGATAGACCCGGTGAACCGAAAGGACATGATTACTCGAGAGCGGGAAATCCTTCAAGAGATGTTTTGCAAAAATGTCTCGCATCCCTCGAAGATGGCAAACACTGTAAGTTGATATGAACTCATTTTACTGTAAGGGATTCTAAATTTGCATATTCAGTATAACATTTTACAGGCCATGTGTTTGCGTCTGGACTAGCTGCTTCAATGGCCGTTATTAATATGATGCGTGCTGGTGATCACATTATTTGCTCTGATGATGTTTATGGAGGTGAATTAGCTCTAGTTGGTCATGGTGAATTCAGCTACCATTATCTCACAGTCGTTTTTTAGGAACTCAGCGATTTATACGTCGAGTCTCAGTACCTCAACATGGAATTCAAGCCGATTTTGTTGATCTTACTAATATAGAGCTTTTAGAGCAAGCTTTCAAACCAAATACGAAGGTAAAATGATTAATGCTGCATGATTAGCTGTAAGGTTCAATTCAACCAAAACAACAAATGTTTACTAGTATATGCATTTCCACTACTTTCAGTTGATTTGGTTCGAAACACCTTCCAATCCACTCCTGAAGGTTGTTGACGTTGCAGCTGTTGTTCACTGTGTTAAGAAGGTCAACCCAAACATCTTAGTCGTTGTGGATAATACGTTCATGAGTCCATACTTCCAGGTTCGTTCACATTAACACTTTTCTTATTGTGCTTGTTGACATTGTGAACGCTCATTCGAGTTTTATTTCATTTTTAGCGACCCTTGTCAATGGGCGCCGACATTGTTGTACATTCCATAACTAAATACATAAATGGCCATTCTGATGTTGTAATGGGAGCTGTTATTACCGATAATGATGAAATTCAACAGCATTTATTCTTCCAACAGTTAGGCAAGTTTCATCTTTATCACTTCCATACACTTTACTAAAGTTAAAAGTTCAGCTGTTGGTGCTGTACCTTCTGCTTTCGATTGCTTCCTTGTGAATCGGGGATTGAAAACATTGCATTTGAGAATGCGAGCTCACTATCAAAATGCGTTGGCGGTTGCTCAGTATTTGGAGAACAATGAACGAGTAGAAAGTGTGAGTTTCCATTCCCTAGCTGCTCTTACTACAATGTCTTCGTGGGAATAGAGTGAAGTATACATGGAAACCAATAGGAAATAAGGTTGCTGTGATTGCCTAAAAGTCTTGTAAATAATATTAAGCCTATTTCTCTGAAAGAACAGTTCCTTTTCGAGAGCTTCGTTTGACGTGTTGGCTTCTTCTTGCAGGTGTTATACCCTGCCTTACCTTCGCACCCGCAACACAAAATTCACGTGAGTCAAACAAAGGGAATGTCAGGCATGATGTCATTTTACTTGAAAGGTGGATTAGAGGAAAGTCGAACATTCCTCAGCGCTCTAAAGGTACGGTATAGCTATTATCTTGTTTATTTATGACTGAGTTTGTGCGATATTCAGATTTTCACCCTAGCCGAATCTCTTGGAGGATATGAATCACTAGCTGAGTTGCCGTCAATAATGACGCATGCTTCTGTCCCTCCAGAGGTTAGATAAACTGTTTAATGTGCTCTCCATCGAATCTTCATTGATTCTTAATTGTGGTGATACTTGAAGGAGCGAGCAAAGCTTCGCATAACTGACAATCTCATTCGGCTATCGGTCGGAATTGAGGATCTCGATGACCTCATCGCTGATTTGGACCAAGCCCTGAAAGCTGCGGTAAGGTTCAACTTTCGTTAGTTTGACTTGATACACTTGTATGCAAGTTTTTTGTTTCTATTCCAAGCCCTTACTTTCAGGTAAAGTTGTGATGGAATCGGCATAGCTCTACAGGCGTTGAACTACAACGCATTCCTTCACTTTTAATTGATTACAACACTTCATCGTTTTCGCAGTAGTATTTAAATGTGGATTTCATATCACGTTCTGTGAATTTTTATCCGTTCTTATTCGAGCCGCGCTCCCTTCACTTTAAATGGTAGTTTCTCATCGCGGTTCAATTTTCATATTAGCATGGAAAAACCTTTCTGCGTAGTTTCTTAAAACGAACTCTTTTAATTTGGAGTTGCTAACTCACATGTTAATGTGCTGCTTTTATCGTTTATTTGAAGACTTGAGAAATTTAACCCTCCGAAAAGGTTCCAGTGTGTGGAAAGAGGACGTTTACGATCATGTCATTTTTAAGCTGCGAAACTTCAAACTTTGCAGTTCAGAAGGAGAACTGAGTTACGAAGTTCTCAAAAAGATATAGTAAAAGTGTTAATGACACTGCAAGCACGTTAAATAAAAACTGCCTAATGTTCTGTCAGAAAGCATTTGATATCTCTAAGTAATACTAACAGGTAAAACAGAAAGGTTGCAGTCACACTCAGAATTTCGCGGTGTGATGCCATCACATGCTGGTTGGTGATACATAATTTTTCGAGTTTCCCTGGTTCGAGTGAATGGTTTAGAGTAAACTGTTATACAGGATGGGCCAAAATTATGATGACCCAGATATTACATTAAATAGTCGAGAACAAATATCAAGAGGGAAACAAACTAAGTCAATAAAGTGTTTATCGGTAATCTCTTATTACAAAGAAAGTGCTGGAACTCCTACTGCTTCCTTTCTGCCTCCATTCAAGCCCGAAGACGACGGGGGAAAATGTTGGCGGAGGTCCTACGTGATTCTTCTGATCCCTTATGAACGGGATTTGGTCTCTCCTATATTCAGAGTTAAATTGAAGAATATATTGATGGATGAGTTCACAGTTATCAAATGCGTGGATGACTGATGTTTCATCGATTGGAAAAAGCAACTTAGCTGAGTTCATGAATAGATATTTAGTATACAAAGATCCAGTTGCAAAGTCACAAGTTGTATATGAGAATTTCATGCCAAAGAGTTGTTTACTGCGCCACAGTTCATCAAAATAGTAATCACGCATCTGCATTACAAAGAACAATTGAATAAAGTGTATTGTTTGGCTCTTCTCATCATGGAATCAGTATCACCTGTCGTCCCATTGATCATCGACTTCCTCGTACTGGGAAAAGTAACCTCAAAATTCGTCCCTGTCACGAACCGGAGTGGTCCAGTGAATCGTCCTCGCTCCGGGGACACGAGGCCCAGCATTCCTTCCGTTCAAAGCTTCCGTGGAAAAGTCCGACCTTCTCCTGGTGTTCACTTGAGGTCTCAAGGGTTCCAATCAGTAATCGCCGTAGTGCAACGGCCATCACCATATTGCATAACGTTCCAGATCAACCTAATCTTTGATTTCTTAGCGTTAGGAACGGCCTGCCTGATCTTCATTCGATGACGGAGCTCGGGAGCCCAGATCCCCTTCTGCACTTGCGTGTATAGGGAAATTCCGAGCATCGTCCTTTCCACAGCACGTTGAATGACGCTAGCTGTATGCTCATCCTGCTTTCGTAGAGTCCAAGTCTCTGAGGAATATGTCAAAGCAGGAAGGAATGTAATGTCGAAAAGTTGTCCGCGGATCCGGATGTTCTTTGTTTTCTTCATTAGTCCCTCAATATTCTTAAATGCTCTCGCAGCGCATTTCCTCCTGCTCAATTCCGGAGCTAAGTCGTTCACCATGTTGACATCCCGACCTAGATACATGCAGCTAGAACATCCTGAGATATTTGTTCTGTTCAGTGAAAAGATACCAATCCGTTTCTCATCAAAATCCTTTTCGTTGAATCCAGTCTTTCCATGAGTGCTGTGGAATTTGGCCAGCATTCATTCCGCCTGCTCGATGTTCGGTGTTATAAGCACGATGTCGTCTGCAAAGCGGAGGTGATGTAGGTAGCAGCCGTTCACCTTCATTCCCAAGTCTTCCCATTCCATATGAGGCTTAATTTTTTCGAGAGCGGCACTGAAAAGTTTGGACGAAATGGTATCGCCCTGCCGAACCCCTCTGCCCACGCTGACAATGAATTCCCTATAGAATGGCGGAATCCTAATCATGAATTTGCGGTAGAGCTCACAAAACATCCTGGTGACTTGAGTAGGAACACCCTGATTGCGCAGGACTTCAATTAACGCTTTTGTCCCGGTAGTATTGAGAGTCTTCAAATCGATGAGTGTCAAATATAACGGTATGCTGTAATTTCGCGAAACTTCAATGATTCTTAGCAGTAATGATGATTGATTGTACTGAGCCCTCTCCGGAACCCTGCTTGCTCGCGTGACTGTCCTTCATCTTTCAATATTCTGCCAATCCTGTTAAGAATAACGCGTGTGAGTCACAGAGAGCAGACATATTGGGCAATAGTTACCAGTATCGTAGGAATCTCTTTATACAGCAACACATAGCCAGTTTTACACAAGTCCTGCTAGTTGCTAATTTTTTAGGCACTTTCCATTCCGTTAAGTGCCGCGTAGGTGCCTAACTAGAGCTCTGACGACAACTGGCGTCAGGCTCTTTAAATATCCTGGTTTGACCCTCTCGAGACCGGACGCCGAACAATTTTTCCATAGGCGCGATGGCATGAAGGTTTTCGAAAGGGAGATCTGAAGGGGCAACATATCCGTTTCGCCCAAGACGGTAGGTAGACATGGCTGTCGAAAGGGCTCGATTAGAAGCCCTAGATGACCATCTCCATTGCTTTCTCCTAGATAAGGTAGTAGCTGTTCCATAAGAATAACGGGAATTCGCCTCGGTCTTGTGGTTGGCGAAGCTTCGTCGGGCATGACGAATGCCCTTCCCAGCCAGAACTGCTGATCTTCTCCATCAGATCTCTTTTATCACTTCTCTGCATATCTTTGCAGTTCGGACGTTTGTTGCTGGTCAACCTTAGCGCGCACGGTTTCACGCTGACGTATTAGCCCGAGAGTCTTCGAAAAGAGACTTCCCAGACTACTACCAGACTCTCTGCTTTTCTAGCATCGTGAAGATGTTCGAGAGCCGGTTGTATTCTTCATCGATGTCGTCGACAACGGAATCCCAGAGGCCTTCAAGGAGAGCAAAGTTGCCCCAGTTGATCACGGTCGTGGAGCTTCATATCCTAAACTTTGCAGCTCTTTCTCCGCGCACTAAAAACAGAGAAGATAGTTTGATCCAGACATGCAAATCTTTCAATTTATTTCATGATGGAACTATCTGCCAGATGACTCCCATGTCCTTGCAAAATGAGAACGCCTCTGGAACTGCACATTATCATGGATGGTGTGGGTCGATATAATGAATTCGAACAGTCTTTCATCTTGTTTATTCCATTACTTTCCGTCAGTCTCAATATGTAGCCCTTCAGCCGTTCTTTCAAGGCCAATCTTGGCGTTGAAGCCACCGACGATACCTTTGCAGAGAGATTTCCCTTCTCTGATCAGCTTTTCCAGGTTGTCTTCTAGAAAGCAGTATATTGTGCTTATAATCCATTTAGTTAATTGCATCCGTATGCAAAACTCGTCATTTTCCGCGAGTGTAGAAAGAAACCTCAGAACAAGCTGCAGAAATGGCAGCTGACATGGCCTTTGGGCAGAGAATGAGTTAAATATAAGGATGACCGAGTCCCTCAGCTTAGAGGTATTCGCAGAGCCGGTCGTGGACTGCCACGGGATGTCGTTGGAAGAGCATAAGATTTTCGATATCTCGGAGTGCCTAGTCACCGACGGTAGCGTGATCAGGCTGTAAAGGCTCGAATTAAAGTGACATGAACGATAAGAAGGTAGTCCAGTAGCAGCCGCTGTGATTGGCGGTGCTAAAAAAAGAATAAAAGAAATTGTAGAGGACAATGGTGAAGGTGATGCACGATGCTCTACGGCGGCGAATGCTGGTCTGTAAGTAGAAACTATACAAGGCAACTTCATTCCACGGAACGAAGATGTTGAGATAGATCGGCGGTTGTACTTGGTTCGACAGCATTGAAAATGTAGACGTCTTGACGATCATGCAGGCAGCTCATGTCAGCTGGAGATGATGGAATAGCGGCCGTCCCAACACCGACACATGCTACGAAAGACATAAGATAATCCGATCAGAGAAGCATTGGCTGCTTCCATAGTCTGTTTAGTTTTTGATCTTGTTCTTCTTTGTTTTCAGCCCTTCGCAGGGGCTTGACCGACCGTTTGCTTCCCTCCTCCCCCTAGCCCTGCCTCTGCTGGCACGCTGGCACGCCGGCACGCACACTGGCGGACTATGAAAGCAGCCATTCAATTTCGAAGCCCAAAAGGAAGCGACTACGGGGAGCCTCAAGAAAAGATAGAGGGACGGATCAAGAAGGACCTCTGAAGCCAAGATAATAACAGAATAAGCAGTAGTTGGAGGAATTGGTGACGGATAACAAATCGATGGAGCCTCAAGCTGTGCGGGATGAATGCCGGAAGAAAGAAGAAAAAGACCTAGGCTGCTGTCTTTCTCATCGATTTCCTGAGCACGTTGAGGCTGAACACCGGACAGCCTTCCTGGTGTGCCGATTCGATCCAGCTGCAACAGCGTTTTGTCGATGAATCAGTAGCGGAATTACTACAAATTCGCTCGCTAATTCGTTTAGGTATCTGACCCACCAACTGTATTGGACAGACATGAAATTTGAATATTTTGCCTTCTCAAATGTTAGAGCTACGAATCATATTTTAATGAATGAGCCAACAGTCCAAACGTAGGGCGTGACGCGGTTCGTAATCAGTAGTGTCCTGTACGGAATATATGTAGATATAGATAGATATATGTCTTCACCTGCACTTCGCATCTGACCGCGTTCTGCTATGCCGTTACAGCTGGAATATACTCGACCAGATAACCAGACCTCCATCCGAGGGGCAAATGCTTTCTTGTGCGTTCATTTTTCGGCAACCTAACCGAAAACACGTCATTAGGACCAAACCTCACCACCATGGTACGTAGATCCCGTCTCCGAGATAACCTACGGCAGCTCCTCTATCGAGTTGTCACTTGCAACTCGATCATTGAGCTCTGCTAGAAGCTAGAAATTTCTCCCTTCCTGATCCTGATCAGCACGAGTTGCTATGTACCTTGGTGGAAGATTCTGAAATGCACCCGACATTATTACTGGTTGTGATGACCTGTGATGACTTGACGGTGGGTATGACCCCTACTCGATTTCCTTCAAAGTTGAAGCTCTTGGGAAGTCGTTCGAAAATTGAAGTAAAAGTAATGTAGCAAATGATTGAACTGCTACTATGACTCGAAAATGTGTAAGTTGCCTTTTCACGCTTTTTCTTGAATGAACTTTGTTCCAACAAAATGCATTATCGGTGAGCAATATATTTACGTATCATCAATGCCAACAATTTGTTGATAGGGCGAAGAGGCCCCCAGAAGTCTTGCGGTTTCGAGCTGAAAAAGGAATTTCAGGTTTTCTGGAGAATCGTATGTGTTGCACGCAAGACTGTTGCGAGTAACAGGAATAGAAAGTAGTCGAAAGTGGGTAAAACAGGACTGTAGGAAGGGTGCGGTGTGAACTTCCAGCGAGTCCACATGCAGCAATAGCTTTTAACGAGTTCAAAAGTGGTTAGCCGATGTTATTTCGTCGCTACTAGGTACTGCATTAGACATCCCCCGTAACCGTGGACTTTGAAAAGTGGAGCTCCCAGTAGTGCACTCCGCGAACATCCCACTACACAGATAGGTCGCAACCGTGGACCTCACTGGAATGATCCCATCCCCCAACTGGTCCAGCCCTCTGGGATGCATCGAGTCACTAGTGAAGGAGCCATTCCACTCTCCACCGATAACGTTGTCTAACCAAACCGTTCGGCGGGAGCTGGAAATAGGTTGTAGGCAGTACACTATGTGCTTTTCTCCTTAAAAATGTTTTTTTGAGGAACCACTCCGCCGAACTTCAAGACTTTTTCGAGGAAACGGAAACACCTGCTCACAGAATTTTTGAGGTTGCCGAGTGCAATTGCTGAAACACGAATCGTTCCCCACAAACTCGCTTCAAAGGGTGCAATCAATGCGAATCCAAGGCAGATGACATTCCGGGCGAGCATTGCCTCCTAAGTCATGGTCGTCAGAGGGAAACATTCCCTTTCAGCATTGTGCGATAAGCTACAACAACACCCAAATGCAGCAGGTGCTATGGGGGAGTACGGTATTTGCAGTGGCATTTGCCGCATGCCGCAAGGGAGAATGCCGCGATAGGGGAGAAGTTCCGTTACCCCGGGAAGGTGTAACGGAACTTCTCCCCTATCGCGGCATTCTCCCTTGCGGCATGCGGCAAATGCCACTGCAAATACCGTACTCACCTCGCCTCTCGCCAATCGATAGGACGCGATATTTTTCGATGATTGGCTTGCTTTTTCATTGGATTTTATCGTTTTTTCTTCTGTTTCTTTTTAGTTTTCATGTTTAAAGACTTGATTAATTAAAATGACTCCTCCTATATAAACGACGATCAAGACCGCATTGGAATTGAAAAGAGCGGCCAGCCAATTCGAATAATTAAAGGACTCTCTACCTTACAAATTGCGCGCTCAAATCTTCCATCACAATCCTGGGATAGGCGGCGGGTGCGGCGTGTGCGACGCCGTGTTAGGGGAGAAGTTCCCGGACCCCACCTTCCCGTTGTGACTCAATCGGAACTCCCAGCATGGCAACAAGCAAGATATTCCATTTTTCAATCCCGTTCACTTCTTCATCGTTTTGAGGGGAACAGCAGCTCAGGCAGGCTCCTTCAAGATTCTGGCGATGATATTCGATGTGCAATATATTACCGCCATGATCCTTCTACAACGTCAATATATATTTTGACACGCTCAAACTTTCGAGACAACCTCATAGAGACAGCAACACTTCTAGAAACCATGCCAACAAAAAAGGCACATTCATTTTTTAGTTGTAAAATATTTATGAAGGAATGCTACTGCAGCAATTACGGGTAAAAGTTGAGCTCAACTGTACAAAAAGAGTTAAAGCAGGAACACTGAGCCCTATTCGCAAAACTTCGATTTTCGCTGATCAAAATACTGTTCTCCGATATTTTCAAAATTTAAGGAGCAGAACGTCACAGAAAAATTCCAAACTGCCAAATTGTGAAATCATATTGCAAAGTGAATAAGTAGCCATAATGACACGAGTTATGAGTGTTTACGGAGGAGGAAAACAAGGAATTATGCAAATAAGTTACATTTTGTAAATTGAGTATCAAGTCATGCGTACAGATACACTACAGCGAGTAGAGCGTGATCATTTCGCGCGGATAATCTCCTTCGGGGGTCTCCAAAATCAGTGGAATGCCATCTAAACGTTCATCGTCCATGATACACTTGAAGCCCTTTTTACCAATTCGACCTCGCCCAATGTTTTCATGACGGTCAACGCGACATCCAAGCCCACCTGAAAAAGAAAGGAGAATATTTGAGAAAACTCGATATCGCCCTACAATCATTCTTCTTTTGTGTACCAGTCATCTCTCAAAAATGCGCAGAAAATTCGCGGGCTAATGGGAAAAGGAAAAATGCTGTTTCCATCGACAATGATGTTCCGGTCGGGAGCTAGTGCAACTAATTAAATCACGACCCAATTTTGTCCTACTGGCTGCTGAGAAATACAGAAGAAACACGGGCCACTAGAATCAACGCGGGATTTTTAGAGTTGTCGTCGTAAAAGGAAAACTCCCCTACTAGAATTTCTTTTGAGTCGGATTGATATGCGGAGCACGGTGTTCTCTAAGTGTAATGTCTACAAATAGGTTGCAATGTCTGAGGAAGGAAACAAATCGGTGCCCACAATGATCACTCGGCTGGAGATAGAACAGAGAATCCAAAGAATTGAGACAGTTAGGGAGATGTATATATAGGTATTCCAGTTTCTTGCAGAAGCAGTAGTTCGCAACCGAGTTATGCCTGCAGTGGCAATCTTTACCGACACTAGCTTCTTTTGAAACGGACATCACGCTCAGCTCAAAAATGGCGAGCGTCTGGTTTGGATGGATGCAGATGAGGACGCACCAGGAAAACCAAAACAGGGTCACGTGGATCTAAGGAGACCCTCATAATGACCATTAGGTTTTAAGGCATGATATTTTAGCGACTTTACTTCAAGAAAAAGATTCACTGATGTGTATAATCTACAGTTTCTCGACGGTAATATGGACAAAAAGATGACAGCTAAGGCTACGGATTAGGAAGAACAAAGGTGCGCATCGGGTCACACTCAGCCTGCTCTCTTTCAGCTGTTTTCTTTTTACAAACCTGGAAATTTTAATGGAAGCTTCAGTTCTCAAACCTTTCGAGTCATTTAGATGGAGCGCTTTCAGGTAATTGAATCCGACGGTGTCGCCAAATTTCTTCATTGTTCTCTCATAAGCTTCCGGTGTTCGGATATCGTAACCTATCAGAACATTAAGGCTTACAGAAGCCATGAAGTGTAAAAAAAGCACCGCTCACCTGCTGCAAATATGTGACAGGTGTCAATGCAAACGCCAACACGAGTCTTGTTCTTCACCTGAATACTCATGAGATTCATTATCAAAATCGGCCGAAGCAAAATGCGCATCGAATGGTTCAAAGATATAACATAAGATGGAAAACTCAGTTTCAGAATCAGTTTGACTGTCATGTAACTGAAGAACTTGAAGTAAGCGTTCAGTGACACACAGCATGGGGGCTAGAGAGTAGATTCTGTTGTTGTGAGCGAGAGATTACTATGAAATCAAAAGTTCCACGGTCATAAACGAGGGAAGAGAGAGGTTCCTCGACATGGCCACAGTGCTTGTCCTTGCAATCTGCAGCACTATCTTCGCGAATGTTGAGGCCCGAGAGATAACATAAAGCAGTGGAAGGAGACAAATGAAAATCGACCTTGTACTCGTTAAAAGCTCGTCATTTAAAATTGTAAAAGACATCAATGTAATGCCTGGAAAAGAACAGTATCCGCAGCGCAGACCCCTCGGATCAGACATAGCCATCGAGCTCTCTATGAAACCAAGGACAAGAAGGGAGCGGAGAATCTGATGTGGTAGGAGCTACAACGAGACGAAAGAAAGGCTTCAGACAAAGAATGTCGGGAACTGGAATTCTGCATCCCGAGGTACACATCAAGCAGATCAGCAGAATCTGAGGACAACTGTGAAAGTCATTCTAAGGTGTTAGGGGAAACGCTGGTGGGCTGGCGGGGAGGGGGGGATTGAACTCGAGGTGAATTGCGAGAATGCGAGCAAACAAGGGAGCGTAGTGGTTCGGAACAATGAAATTAAGTGAATGCTTCAATGGCTGCTTCTGTCTCGACGATATCGATTGCCTTCTACAAATCGATGAACGCAATACATAACGTCATCCTGTACTCTCGCGATATTCTAATGATTCTTGAAACAGTGTGAATGTGATCGACTGTAGTGAACTCTCTCCGAAATCATAGCCGCCCTTCATTCTATACTCTGCCAAACCTGATAAGGATGACCAGTGTAAAAAATTTAATATTAGCAATAGCATGCAGTTCGCGTGACAGTTGTTAATATCGCCTGTTCCTTCCTTCATATAGAGGGTACGCCATAAATATGGTAACACTTTTCGGACGTCCGTAATTTCCTTGTTTGGAGGGTTTTTCCGAAGCTGCACCTCTCCTCATGTTTATGATATTCCTTAGCCCACATATCTACTTTGATACTCTCAATTCGTCACATTTCGAGAAACGGTGGCACACCTCGCTCGCACACCGGCTCGCACACCGATCGGCCGTTCCGTCTTTGCGCGCATTTGGTGAATCCTTTTCCTTTTGGGTTCGTTCCTCGTTTCAACATTTCCCACATGACAGTATCTTGAATCGCGTTGCGTAGACAGGTCAACAAAAACCTTAATACGGTCGTCTTGTCTCACATACGACCCTTTTCCCGAATACAATTGTTCCGGGAAGAGTACGCTGCTGAACCTGCAAAAATACGAAAAAATGACAGCTGTTTTGTTTGTATGTTCTAGTCCGATGGAAGGAGTCTACCCTGATTAAATACAATTGTATTCTGACAAGACTCGAGAGCCTCATAAGCTTTCTGACGAGAAGAAGTTGAAGAGAAAAACAAATGCCTGCGCTACTTGCGCGCGGCACAGCTTCGACACACTTTTTTCTGAATTAAGGGTGTTCAGCGTGGAAGAAATGTTGAGATCCCGAAATATGCATATATTTCACATTTCGAGAGCTAGAGCCGCTGAGAAGAGTCAGATCGCCTCTCATAACCATTTTCCCTCTTTGACGAATGTTTTTGCTAGAATCTCTACCATCAGAGCGATATTGCAAATTTTGGTCGAAAAAGTACAAAATTTAACCCAAAACTTTTTAAGATAGGTCCTTCTGAAAAGATGCAGCGAAGGGTCAAAGCCTTTTTTAGGAATAGATTCGAAAATTATGGAGCACCTGCTCACAAATGGTAAAAGACCAAGACTGGTGCTGAAGCAATGTTCGCGACCATATCCCACCTTCCAATCCTTCTATGAATTTCCCGGACCACAATGTGATGGGTCGCTGGATATAGTCCATTCTAGAGAGGAAAGCCTGCGCTTCAAAACGCACCACCTCTGCTGCTCGTAAAAAATCACTTGAAAAAATCCAGGCTAGAGTTTCTCAAGTAACTCTGCATGCCACCGTCGATGAGTTGTCGAAGCGTCTTCGAACTACTGTTAGTACAGGAGACGGTTATATAAGATGAGCGTGTGTTCGTTTCGTAGATGCAATGCATAGTAAGTAATTCACATAAATGCACTACAAATCGATATGAACTGCTGTTTCTGTGGCCAGATTATTGTGTTAGCATATTTATGGCGCACCCTGTACATCAACACAGTGTTCCTGGTTCCGACGTGGGTGCCTTACATTGCGACCGGAGGGTCGAGCCAGAGTTTTCACGGTAGTTGATGGGAGGCTCCCTAGATCTTCCCGTTTGATCTTATCGGGAACGTACAGCGCCGAACAATTCATCATCAACACTGCGGCATGTCGTTAACGCAAAGGAGAACAAAGGAAGCTACGTCTAATATTCATAGAAGACGAAGTGTGGAGAGAGGTGGGTAAAGTTCCCACCGAAAATCCATGATAAGCTTCCTGGGCTCTTGCTACGACTTGTGATGTGCGCACGAACACGTCCTGAGCAAAGATTCCAAAGAACTTACGATATCAGAAACTACAACAGGAAGGAATATTTTTGGAAATCGTAAACTTACAACTTAACCAGATAAAATATTTACCATCGATATTATATCCCGAATCTGCTCGAATGTCGATCCGATGGTATGACCTTGACCAGCCATTGTTTCTATTACTGTAAATGAGCCATGAAACAGGATGCCTAACATGTTCCCATTGAAACCTGTTGATGAGAATACTGCTGGTCGAAAAGCTTACCTATCACAATGAAGTCAGTGTTGTCAACAATGTAGTCGATGGTCTCAGCTACTATTTTCAGACATTGTTCTACTGTACCCGTTCCTGTGGTAGAACCTTAATATGAATGCTATTACTCAAATCCCGAGAACAAATAAGTAGTTACACTACCTGGATGGATATTGTAAAGCTTAATCCCTAAACGTTCACAACGCCTACACTCATCAAGCATTGCCGTTCTGCTTTTTTCTAGTTTTTCCGCATCAGGAGATCCAGGGTTCATCAAATAAGATCCATGTGGGAGAACTTGAGAAAGTGGGAAGCCAGTATTCTGCAAAACCAGGACACTGTAAGAGTCGTGGCTTTTCTGTTTAAATTGAGTCTTCAGTCAGTTTCATAGTTCTTTCATAGATTTGGCATTGTTGTGATCGCATGGTTTGAAGAAATTTCTGTAAGCGCGATAGACTGAAATATGAGGCGATGAGATGGGCGGAATGCTCATAGTTTCGTCTACTTTATACTACCGAGCTTCAATCCTTCCGTCAGCTCTCGACTGATCATGGCTTTACAGCTTTGACCTATCGCTTAGAGGTGCAGTTCACGATAAAAATGGTTTCTGAGATTGCCCCGGAGGATGAATTCAAGAACCCTTCGTATACCATATTTGGCGCTATTAGATCGGGAAACAACGACCTAGTTAGGGCTTTATAAAAGGCTCGACGATTGTATCGTGTCTATCTTCTGATGAGTTTAACCGGCAGTGTAGAAGCAGTACTGATCACAAAGAAACCCATGTAGGAACTTCAAACAACTTGTCATGACCCATAGCGACAGTGGAAGGCAGTTCTGTACATTCTGGCTTGATGTAGTCAGCCCTTTGCCCAAATGAAATCTCTTCCGAATATTCCCTTCAAGATATTTCCGTCATGCTAATCTCATCTATTCTCTATTTTTACTACTTCGAGGAGCCTTATTTTTTCGCAAAAACGGCGAATTTTCACGGTTCTTTCACCACCAATGCACTACTGCCAACCAATATATCCTCTTTTCGTTTAAAAAGGGTACCCCAAAACTATCGTGAACTGTGCCTTCGATCCTATTATGTGATGAGAAACACAAAGACTGAGTTGAACTGTGAAGCTGCAATTTTCTACTATAAACCATCGCTATAATAGTTTATGCGATTGTCTCGCAATGATTGTGATTTGTGGGCAACGCGCTTAGTCTCAGAATTTGAACCATAGGCAGGCGTGCAGGCATAATGCATTGCTCTAGCGACATGGTTTGAAATAGGGAACGTCCGTTCCGTGCGTCCGTCTAAACTAGGTCATAGCGCCCACAGCCTACTACGAGATTACATGCAGTACAACCAAGTGTCAGTGGAACGGAAGATTTGCACTAGTTCGTGTTATCTTTTCTTAGAACGACTGCCTTGGATCAAGTGTAACCGTATGCCCCACTGACAACTGCGACGTCCTTCAAGAATCGCGAGCTGACGCGTTGCATGCGACGGCTGCGTCGTGACCTGGTCTCGACGGACGCGCGGAACGAAGCACACCGAGGTTGAGTGCTTCACCATTTCATCGCAATCCACGTGAGATCAGAAACAAATTCAGGCACAACGAACGTCTCTAGCGAGTTGAAGAAGTGTGTAGGAATCTCGCGAAGCAAACTATACAAACATGTCGCAGTCAGCATCAAATCTTGCTTACCTTTAAGGCACAATTCCAGCGCTCAACAGTAGCTTCATCCATAGGCTTTGCGTTCCACTGGCGCTGATTACGAACAAACATGCCCAAAGAACGATTTCCCTCAGCACAAGCATTGTAAATTGCCTGCTCCAGACCACCTAGAATTCCTAATAGCTAAGATAAATTGTATTTAGCAGCCTGAATTGTGGTTTCTTGAGAGCAACCTATTCAAAAAAAAAACCAGCTTCAGGAGAAATAAAAAGGCTCGAATTGTAAACAGGCTACTAGCAGAGCGATTTATCTTCACTAATTATGAATAATTATGAATAATCACGGATCTCCCTATGGGCAAGGCGATCGAAAACACGGCATTTCTTTTCTTCATCTGATGTCAAAATGTATCGTCAAAAGGGCTGAGAAGTAGTACGGTTTTGAGTCGGGTTCGAAATATAAGTTTAAGGGAGTTTCACAAACCTGGAGTTTTCTTTTGCGATTTCAGATATCACTGTTCCAAAATCTAGCACTGCAGATTCAAGGCATGTTCAATGTTGGAATGGTTTATCGGAAAATGGTAGAGAGAAGATAAAACTTATTCAGGGGGGTATATGCTGCAAAGTGGTCCATCGGTGGCTACTAGACCTAAATAACGGCTGGCCATTAGCAGTCAACCTCTTCCAATTGCTGCTATAGCGTCAGCACAAATTATGCTTCTGAAAATTTACTTACTACAAGAGAAACATGGTGAACTACTCCTTCTCTGACCGCTGTTTTGTATGCTATCGAGAAACAGTCTCTTTCGGTTAGGAAAAGATATGAAAGAAAACTAAAGCGCAAATACAGTTCCAGTCTAAATATTCCATGGATCTCTGCCTTACTCGTTGAACACAATTTTCGTTAACATTATTACAGCATTAGAATTAACTAACCAGCAGCACTAACATGAGAACCCAGACACTTCTTGCTTCCTGTGCTCGCTTGAAGTACCTGCATATTAGATGAGTTAGATGAGAGCACATCGCCATAACTAGCGAATTCTCAAGATAAAACTCGAAACCATTCTTAAGAGATCTATACAATTATAAACAACCTTGCTGCCAATAGTGAGACGTGTTTGACGTTGAACCTCATTTTCTCCGCTTGTTTCCGGTTTTGAGCGCTTTTTGAGTGCTTTATCATTATCTCAATTGATGAACAAGTGATAACAGAACTTCAAAGACACGTACAACGCTACTTCTCGAGGTACTACCAAAATGAGAACTCCGGCAAAGGAGAGTGGTTATGCCGTGATTAATGAATGGAAAGGACGCTAAGAATCACCAGCGTTCTTTTTGTCATCTCCATTGCATTCTGTTTTCACTTCCTCACACTTCTGCTCTGCTTCAGACTTCACTGATTTCGCTAAAAATGCAGAGTGGTCTTGTCGTGAATAATGAATGCAAAGGACGCTAAGAACTCACTTGCTTTCTTGTTGTTATCTTTATTGCACTCCGTTTTCACTTCCTCATACTTCTGCTCTGCTTCAGACTTCACTGATTTTGCTTAAAAAACAATAGTTGTGCTGTGAGTAACTATAACTACTTTACAATGGGGTATCAATATCGCCTAGCCTAAAAGTGCAGCTTTAAATCCTCATCGCGGAATTTATCTTGATTCAAACTCAGTTATAAGTCAGTAGTTGATAACGACTCTGGTAGATTGTAGTGTAGTATGACCAGAAAGTATAATCAAGGTTCATTTTTGGCCGTTTTTCAGATCGAATGTAGTCTATAACACGAGTCAGAATATGGTCAGCGGTAGTTGCAGAGTTGCAATTTGGATAGATTGGGTGACAGTTCACTGCAATTGTTCATTGCTACGGCGGAGACAACAGCGTCGAGAGAAGCAATGACTCAGCCTTCTGGCATCAGCGAGTGGGAATGATTAGGGCGTCGGATTCTCCAAATTCACTCGACTTGACGTACTGTATACTGGAGTTGTAGTTCAGTTACCCATCGCTGAAAGCGATTGGCGGCATTATTGGAACTTTTTTCAAATTCCGAACATAAAAACAAGCGGTTTGTGGCCCGTACTCAGCGGGAAGTGACGTCAATGTACTAAGTGATGAAATTTTTGAAGTGCAAAAACGATCATCATGGCTTCCTTCTCGATCTGACTGTTTTTATTCTGTGCTGATGTCAGAGCGGGTGGAAATGATTGGGGCGTCTGATGTCAGGCGATAAACAGAGTTAGGTCGTAGGAAGTCTGATTCAAGCCTTTTTCATTCAATCGAAACACGACTAGCATTTTGGTGACGACTTAGAGATGGCAGCCTTCTTGGTTAAAGCGTCCAACGAAGCGGAAGTTTGTGCAGTTCAGGGAAAAGGTTTCGTAGAAGCAGATCAGCCCGAGAAAGGCTCCCACTTGGTTGACGTTTTTAGGTTTTGGCGTACTCTGGATTGCTCCAATCCAGAGCATGCCCATATCCATTCCAATGGCCGGGATGAGGTTTTAAAGAACGAGCGATTATACTACAAGTACGTTGTTGGGGACTTCAACGCAGTCATCCACGAGTAGAGACCGGCAACAGCACGCACTGGACCACATGGAATTGGAGAAACGAACGAAAACGGAGAGCGATTGATGGACCTTTTAGAGGCGTGCAACCTATTCCACGAAAACAGCTTCTTCGTTAAAAACGAGGGTCGACGTTGGACATGGGAGAGCCCTAACGCAGAGACTCATAGCGAAATCGACCACGTTCTCACCAACAGAAAGTGGAGTCTGCTGGACGTCAGTGTGGTAGAAGCGTTCCGTACCGGAAGCGACCACAGGCTCGTCAGAGCCAAAATCCCGCCTACGAGCAAAACATCGAAGACGTGATTGTTTCCGGCCTCCTCCCANAAAGGATTTCTACACTGCGCAACGGCATCGGCTATTTCAGCAAGGGTCAACTCGAGGAGCAGGATCGATGGAATTGCTCGCACCCTCCCCCAGCAACGGGCTGCCGTTTACCGTAACTCTGCATCTTCACTTCTGGAACGTGCTACGACCAATAAAGCGTGCCGCGTCGCTGTGAGAGAGTCGATACAGCGATACAAAGACACCCGACTGAAGGAATCAGCAGAGGCGAGAGCGAGCACCAAGCGATTTCGTGAGGATCTTACCGACTCTCGCTCGATCATCGCGATTATGAGGGACGGTATGGGCAGACCGCAGACATCGAGAACGAAGATCGAGGAGATTGCCGTCGGCTACTACACGAACCTCTTTCGGTCGACGGTATCGGTTTCCCGTATTCCTACGCCAACACAAGAGGTGGGCTCCGAGGATAAAAGAATGGGAGGTAGAACGCGCTATACGTCAGATGAAACCGAGAAGGGCACCTGGACCGGACCGCATCTCAGCGGACTTCTTGAAATCGGCGTCCCACACCATCATCAAGCAGCTCACCAAGCGCTTTAACAAGTACCTGGACGCTCAGGGGATTCCGGACCAGTGGAAGAAGTCAAACACGGTTCTTCTGTTCAAGAAAAGAGAGCGCGAACAAATGAAAAACTACCGTCCAATCGCGTTTCTCTCGCAACCGTACAAGCTGTTTACTAAGATCATACTAAACAGACTCGAGAGGCAATTGGACGAGTACCAACCAGTCATACAAGCCGGTTTTCGCAAAGGCTTCTGCTGCATGGACCATATCCACACTATCACGCTGCTGATAGAGCGGAAAAGGGAATACAAACAACCACTCCTCTCTGCTTTATCGACCATGCGAAGGCATTCGACAGTGTGGAGCACAGTTCTGTCTGGAACGCATTGCACCATGCAGGAGTCGATCCATGCTACATCAACCTGGTGGAACAATGTAATACAGACACATTTACCACCATCCGCATGTTCCAACGAGAGCTTCGCGTGCCGATTGAGAAAGGAGCCAGGCAGGGTGACACGATATCTCCTAAACTATTCACCACCGCACTGAACCACGCGATGCTGCAAATGGACTGGGACGATAAAGGCATCAACATCGACGGCAAGAGACTATCCAACCTGCGCTTCGCAGACGATATCGTCCTCATCAGCCAAAACCGAGAGGAGTTGCAGCAGATGGTGGAGGAGTTGGACGACGTCAGCAAAGCAATCGGCCTCACGATGAACAGGAGCAGGACAATGGTCATGCGAAACGAATGGGCGGATGCGTCGCCCATCACACTCGGAGGAGCCACGTTACCGTTCACCGACTCCTATGTGTACCTCATCCGTCTCATTTCCATGGTCAACAACTTGCGTGCAGAGATTATGAGGCGCAGAAGATGCGCGTGGGCGGCAATCGGAAACATAAAAGAAGCGGCTCATCTCGTATCGGACAAGAAAGTACGAGCTGACCTTTTCGACTCTACGGTATTGCCAGCACTCTGTTACGCATCCGAGACGTGGGCGGAGAACAAGACGTCAACGCTTGTTGGTTCGCGCACAAAGAGCTCTGGAGCGGACGCTGCTGAAGATCAACCGCGCAAAACAGAGAGGTCTTAACCTCCGCAGCGCAGACATGCGCTCAATCTCCGGCATCCGCGACGCCGAAATGTACGCGTGGAACGCAAAGAAACGATGGCCAGGGCACGTGGTTAGACGCACGGACGACAGGTGGACCACTCGCGTCACGTTCTGATACCCACGTGAGATTAAGGGCACACTTGGCCGTCCTGCAACGAGATGGAGTGATTCACTGAAGAAACTTCAGGAAAACGATGGTCAACACTAGTCCCAAACCGCTCAAGATCGTCAAAAATGGATGGAAGCGGGTGCTCGCCGTTGAGGATTATCAGCCGACAACGAGCGTCCAAGTATCCAAGTAAGTAGGTAAGTAAGGTACGCCCCGGCTAAGTCCATTCAGGAGCAATACCATTCTCCGTTGGGCTTAGCAAGAATATCGACTGATAGTCAGTGCTGGTGCCGTTTGAGTGCGTCGATCAGGCCTTCAGTGATGTCTGCGCAAAAACGATCGATCCATTCTTCTTTTAAACTAGGACTACCGGTGCGGCCTACTATGTAGGAGTGTTCTTTCGACGTCAGAACGTTTACAACAAGTGGTCGATTTTTTGAGTGGTCAGAGGCACAGCGTATGGGATATGACATTACACGTAATACTTCCAACATAGCTGTGCAGGAGCGGTTCGACTTTTGAAACCTAGCCGAGCCCCGCTAGCGATGAGGTTCCGACCATATGGAAGATCCCTGTTCTTCGCCGTCCAGCGATGGCAAATGTGAACTCAAGTGGCCACAAACATTGTACAGGGTGCCCCAAAATTATTGGCGCCGATTTATAACAATATATTTCAAACTTTTCAGCAGCGAAAGACTATGGAATCTCTATGCACGTTAGCCAACACTATGTGCTACAACATGCTACATTCGCATTTAAAAATATCCCCCATGAGCGCGGATAGAAGTCAAAGTTTGCTTTCGACTTGATCGCATGTGGCACGCACGTATCCTCCTCCATTTCTTCCCAGCCATTTTTCAGCCTTTGCATTCTAGGACTTCAAACTGGGACTGCAAACTCGACAGGTCCTCTTCTGACCAGGGACCAGTCGTGGGGTCAAGTGAGTCAAGTACTGGAAAATAGGATGACCATCCCTCTTCACCAATGAAGTCTGGCAGGTGTCGTCGGCACCACTCGCAGGCAAGCTTGGCTCTGTGGGCTGGAGAAGCGTCCCGCTGGAAGGACTACGAGATGTTTCAGAAAACGTGGTCGGATCAATGTTTCATTTACTTCCATCAGTACGCCGTTTGAGTACTGGTCTTGGTCAATTTCCATGCCTGCACCGAAGAAACCACGAGCGGCTTACCCTTGCCAGTGATTTCCTCGGAAAACACCATTTTACTATTCTGATAGCAACCATTTTGTGAGATATTACACGCTAGGCGTTTCTTTCCAGAACGCGAACGTTTTGGTTGTTGAGGAATGGCTTTATCTCAAAAAATTTCTTGAGCAGAGAAAACGATGAAGGGTTGCGTGTCATCACTTTCGACTTTCTGCATTTTTGGCCCGGCAGTATCTGTTGAGACCGGAATTGAAGCGAAATTTCTGCATACGATAGGAACGGCAGTGAAGCTCCTGCATGACATTCTTCCATCGCGATAACTCTTGTAAGCCGTGCCCGTTGACTTCCTTTTGATGGGTCACCCAGAATCCCGACCGATTGGCAGATGGAACATTTTAATAGTCCTATCTTCAGAAACATTCTACCTTTCTACCTCTCCTGATTTGTCTCTGATTCATGCTTTTTTTCTGCATCGCTTAATAGCCTCCTATCCGGTTATTACAAAAATCCCAAGGAATTTCATATTGCCCTTCCACCTCTCGCGTGTCGATGTTTGCAAGTGGCATTGAATGAGCCTCCTTCATCTGAAAGATATTGAGAGTTCCACATCAGTAGCCATGCATATTGCAAGGAAACCTTCTTATGCAACTAATTAATAACAGGTTATGTGAGTTTGATATATTATTTGTACCTTAAAAATTCCTGAATTTTGGCGCCAATAATTTTGGGACACCCTGTAAATTTCAGCTTGAACAGCGGCGACAGCAATTTCGGACGACCTACGACGATCCAATCCTTGTGACTTATGTTAGTAGGGTGACGTTGGCGCCTGTATCTAGGTGCATGCGCGTGGAGCCTCCATCGATCTTCATAGTCCGGTAGATGCCTTTGAGCTATGTAGGCAGTGGTCAAAGCCCTTTTCGCTTCTTCTTCAAGCTTGACGTCTTTTACGTTATGGAATTTATGAAATTCGTTCAAATTCCCTTCTTGACTCCAACACCACTGCATGCGTGAAAGCGTTTCTCGATGAAGTCCCTTTTTTTGAAAAGAGTGGCCCTTCACAGCGGAAGCATGAAGAGGTTGGCTCTCTGTCTTGACTCTCCTTAGACTCAGCCGCGCTGATTTCGGATAGGGGTGCAGCTAGCGAAGGTAGACTGCACATAAGCTTGACGTCTCGTTGAACATCTAGCAGTTGCTGAGTTTCGGTGCTGAGTTCCCTCACGTAGTTTCAGGATTACACTCTAGCTTCTGTAAAGCGTGGGTACGGAAGTCGGCATAACCGGATGCAGCTAGAAAACAGATCCAGACGAGGCACTCATTTGTTCGGCGGTCGCGTTCTACCATTTCATGACGTCGAATCATTAGCACAGACGGCCGCGAACGGCTTCACTGCTACAGAGGGTTTTCAGGTAAGCGTAACAGCGTGCGCAGAATGAAGCGTTGTATCCGACAGTTATTGCAGCGTCTTCACAATTTCCGCCAGTGGGATGCTGGCGGAAATTGTGAAGACGCTGCAATAACTGTCCAAGCCTTCGCTGCTTCATTGAAAGCGGCAGCATCCTCCGTAATGATATTCTCGTTACGGTTGCACCAGACATTGAAGGGCAGCTATTTTCTGAGTCCTACGTGAACTGGGGCAGCCGTGCGTACAGAGTTAGTGATAAACTCAGCTGATGTGCGAGAGCCGTCGAGAATGCCACCAACAGGAACATGCCTCGCATCCCTCTCATGACGGCTGGCAGCATTTTCTCCAGGCAGCAGCCTGGGCGCTGAGAACAGCACATGAAGTGTCAGCATACAACGCTGGCGGCGTTGCTTAATGAAGTCGGCTGCACCGCGTAGCCAGTCCTCATCACCAGTTAATGGGAAGTCAAACTGAGAATATTTATCAGTGAAGACGAACTGGATACCGATAAATTCAGTGGAGTGTCCGATTTATGCAATGGTTGACCTATTCAAATACTTGTAAGCTGCGATAAAATCAAATCAAAACCTAGCAATTAGCGCCTAAAATGCAGTTTGTAATGGACGTGGTAGACCATAGGTGAGAATCTGTGAACCTATTATACAAAGAGGCAACATACTCAAGCTTTTATCCCGAGCTTCAAATTTTCCGAAATGCTAGTGGTCAAAGGCAGTGAAAATAGGCTCCGATTCACCCTCCGGTGACAACTTTGAAACGAGCGCTGTGGAGTAGCAGCATGCATGAAGTGTGCGGTTTGTCAAGGAATATTTACCTCGTGTTTTTGGGATGTTTTATCAATGTTGAGTTTCTCACAGACACCTCATGCATCTTTGGTATCTTTCTGTTGCCTGTGTTGCATAGCCCCTGTCTTGAATAGGTGTGACAAGTGTTGTAAATGATAGACGAAATAATGCGCTTATTTGAACAAATGTCATAGGGAGTTCCAAAAACCTTCAATAAAAGGGCAGAACGCTGTGCGGAAATTTCGACAACGACGAGACACTTCTTTCAATTACATATGAAAATACCAGTGACTGCTTTCTCGAAGTCGGCAATTTTCAATATCGATCTATGTATATAAAAACATTGCAATATTGAAAGTTGCATTGGAAACGAGATGAGTACTATTCGAAAACGGAAGCCAAGCATGAGTAAAAAACGCTCGAGTGGATCAATTTCGGCAATTTTATCAGCAAGTTTCCCGGAAGTGACTTACAACACTGAAATATGTATGAGGAATGCAAACCAACTGACTATGAAGTCTTGCAATCTTTAGAAAAGCCGTATTCATCATAGTCCCGGGTATGGTTGAATCCAACCAAGAAATGTTTAACTTCGCGCACTCAAAGGGAGCTCCATTTGAGGTATAAAATACTTTCGGGGTGTCAAGTAGGAGTGACAAGAAATGAAACAGTACTATTGTTTTGTTAACCAGCGCGACCGTTTCGAAAAAAGAGGATGGGTCACCATAGCATCCTTGAAATGAAGCGACTTTCCGTCACGTAAGAGTTCGACGAATAACCAATACACTTACAACTGACAATCCGTCTACGCTTCGTTGAAACTTCTTCGGCGTGGTACTGTTCCTCGGAGTGATCTGCAACTGAGATACACAGACACATAGTAAAATTTTGCCAGCAACAAAGTTTTGCAAGAGTATTCCATCGTAAGTACAACTATTATAGTAGCTTAGTTATTAGGACAATCAGAAATTTTTGGTTT